ACGATACTCACACATGCATCACCAACGCCACTCTACTCTCCGTGTGTACAAACAACCCTGTAATGTAAATTGACGTTTTGACGTGCACTTACCTCAACGACAGGCGAGTGTCACTTGAAGCGTCCAATAGTTAAAACCGGGTCATGGAACAGTCGCACGACAGCAAATGATGCAGTCACTGTTAATGTGAGCTTTCCTTTGACGCTAGGTGAAGTAATGGTTGATTTCACTGTTTATATACCTTTTTGTGTGTGTTCTGAAACACGAATATGTATATATTTTAAAATCAAGACACACACTCACAAACAGGTCAAGTGTTTTACAGACAATTGCCCTTAAGAAACGGTGACAAAAAAGTTTTAAGTCTGGTGGAACCCAGGAGGTAAAGAATTTTGAACGATCTTTTGTAATTGAAAAAATAAGGTCAGGAGCCGAGACTCAACCCCCACGTCTCCAGCCACAGGTCAACACACATGGAGTAGAGTGAACTTCATTTCATGAAAGAATTCGTGATACACAAACACTGCCGTTGTAGTGAGAGAGATGTCAAACTGGGGGAAAGAATGAAAGGTGGAGTCCTTAAGGATCAGTTGTGGGGACTCCTGCTGTTTGTTGATATATGTCAACGACCTTTCTCGCAGAGATTGATTCCTACCTGTTCATGTTCGTGGATGATGCGTAACTAATGAGTCTAGTAAACACACAAGACGCTACCTGAGTTTAGCTACCTGAGTTCATCTCTAAGATGCAAGGACGAGTTCAAGTTAGTCGGTGTACGCAACGTTGGCATTACCAAACATTTACTTTGGTGCTTTGTGAAGCACAAAACTGTTCATTCGTCGCCAGGAGCGGTGGAGCCTCGAGCCTCTGTCAGCTTAAAACGCTTGGCACTTTATTTTTCACGATGCCATTCAGCACCTGCGTGAGACTGACACTCGAGTAGGAGGAACTGCTTCAGGACTAACATCTCCATACACCTGTAAGGAAGTTTGAAATGATCCGAAGATTTACCATCATGTTAGTTCCCGAGACTATATTCATTTATAACGTCACAAAGCATACTCAACCCCTGCCAATTTGGATTCAGGAAAAATAAAAGCATTAATGATGCAATTATAAAAATGCTAGACCTGCTTTACACAGCATTGGAAAATAAGGAATATCCGCTAGGAATTTTTATTGACCTAAGAAAAGCCTTTGACACAGTAGACCACGGCATCCTACTCCACAAACTTGACCACTATGGTATAAGAGGCCATGCGCTTGCATATTTTAAATCCTACCTTTCTAATAGGTATCAGTATGTCACCATTAAAGACAGCCTCATCAATACAGCCGCTTGATACTGGAGTTCCGCAGGGAAGTGTCCTTGGACCCCTGCTCTTCCTCATTTACATCAATGATCTTCCAAACATATCCCAACACCTGAAACCGATTCTCTTTGCTGACGACACGACTTACGTCATCTCCCACCCTAATCTTGCCACCCTCAACACCATTGTTAACGAGGAGCTGCTCAAAATATCGACTTGGATGACAGCCAATAAACTTACACTTAACACTGGTAGCAGAGCAGGTGTTGCGCAACTTAACATTAAGATCGACAACACTCTAATTGCCAGACATAATGAGGGCAAATTCCTTGGCCTATACCTCGACAACAACCTAAATTTCAGCACCCATATCCAACACATAACAAAAAAAGTATCCAAAACGGTGGGGATCCTCTCCAAGATACGATACTACGTACCGCAAACTGCACTTCTCACACTATACCATTCACTTATATATCCATACCTCACCTATGCTATCTGTGCTTGGGGTTCAACTGCAGCAACACACCTAAAGCCAATAATAACCCAACAAAAAGCCGCAGTAAGAATAATCACTAAATCCCATCCCTGGCAACACCCCCCCCCCTCCCCACTCTTCATAGATCTAAACTTACTCCCTGTTCAGAACATCAACACTTACTACTGTGCAATCTATATCTACAGAACCTTAAATTCCAATATTAACCTTGATCTAAAACGCTTTCTTGATAGTTGTGACAGGATCCACAGGCATAACACCAGACACAAACATCTCTGACATTCCCCGTGTTCGACTAAACCTTTACAAAAATTCATGTATTTCAAAGGACCTAAAATCTGGAACACCCTACCTGAAAACTCTAGAACTGCAGACACATTCATCACTTTCAAAACTACAGTTAAAAAACATCTTATCTCCCTGATCCACCCCGACAACTAACTACATGATAACCACCTGGTGGTTCACAATTACACTCACTCACCCACTGACTATAAACCCAGAAATACTAATCTTAATCTTAAAATAATAAATCCTAACTAGTCATAAGTTTGCCTATGATACTCCAATATAGACACTTTGTATTGTGCCAAAACAAAAGCATTCACATTGCTAAACTCACAAATTATGATGTAGTCACTTAGCCTTAATACCATAATCTGTAAGGATTTAATGTTAAGAATTAATCTAAGTCTGCTCGAAATGCCTAGCCATGCTAGGTGTCCTAGTGGGCCCCCTCTGTAATTAGTATTTTATGACATGTAAACCACACAATACCCAAAACCTGTAAACCCCACATTGTAACCCTTATAAAGAATAAACTTGAACTGAATTGAGATATATGACTTGAGCTGTGAAGACTGACGGAACCAGATCTCATCTTTGGTAAAGACTCATTGGAGATATGTTGGGAAATTTCACTCCCTCAGTCATTCTTACTCTCTTTCACACACACACACACACACACACAGGACTAAGACACGAAAATATAAATATTTCTTTACATGCGTTTGCTGGCTTCACATTTCTGTTGACATTATACAGGAAAGAAAAACTGTCTAGATTATTGTCATAACTCTCTTACCGACATAAAAAAAAATTATTTAATCGATAAATATAACGGCAAACAGACCCCTTTGTGTGTTGTGTGTGTGTGTGTGTGTGTGTGTGTGTGTGTGTGTGTGTGTGTGTGTGTGTGTACACTCTGGTGGACAAAATATCAGTAACTTACGCACCTAACGCGTCTTGTCTTCATTAGTCCCCATATATACAATGCCAGAATGTACAACTCTCACGCGTCCTCGTGGGTGTTTGGCCAGTAATATTCTTTACTACAGAGACGGGAAGGAAGGCAGGTTCTAAGAGCAAATCGCCTCCATTACCTCTTACCTGTTTAGATTATTATATTCCTGGGGAAGCACTAAACCCATAGGGGTCATACAATTAGTGATATAGTAGGGGTCACACAGTAGGGGTCGTACAGGTGTGGTCATACAGTAAGGGTCATATAGCGCTTGAGCTAACTGCTCAGAAAACAATATACATTACACATACCGTGCGGCTGACTTCACCGCAACAGTGCAGGTTACGTCAGGTGGCAGGGCGGGGTAATAGCCCTGTTGATTGGTCCTTATTATGGTCATCTGGGTGTGTAATCTCGGCTGTAACACTTGCTTGTATTCTCAGACCTGGGGGCACCGTTCTTGAAGACTGTAATAAAGCTGTACACAATTATTATAGTCGGTATTATGCGTGATTATTTCTTTGTTGTTAAGGAAGTTAATCAATCTTAAACTCTCTGCCTTTATCTTTCTTTATTAAAAGCACTGGACTTTCCTCCTCCTCCTTCCAGACCGCGATCTACAGGAGACTACTAGCTCCTACTTACCTATTTACTACTAGGTGAACAGGAACAATAGACTTAAGGAAACTTTTCCCTACGTCTCTTCCAGCCCAAGATTCTAAACCATTAACTAGTGGTTAGGGGTTGGCTGGGTTTAACTTTCTCTTGGCTGTTTATATCTGACGTACTGATACTGTGAATTTATTTACGTTTTCCTCCCGAGTTCCTCTCTAGTATGTTACAACACTTGTCACCCAAGAGCGGTAAAAGTCTTTATAAAATTTCTCACTTATTTGGATGTTCTGCTTTAGTCTGTGATCCCTTGCCTTAGTTACTACCGTGATGGATCATCAGAGCTTGTCTACCTCATCTACGTCCCGTAGTTATAACCATACTAGATATACCTCATCTACGGCCTCAACTATTTCCGACAGTTTTTCGTTTTTCTGGCACCAGCCTGGTGACAGAAAATTGTAGTCTAACCTGCTATGACCTTTTTGATTTAGATTTACCGTCTACGTACTCGCACCACAAATGATAAACGTATATATTTGAACGTTTCCACATTAGGTTCAGCCAGCTCGTTTCAGACGTATTACCGTCTTTTGTTGTGTTTAGATTCACGTCAGCTGGCCTGACCTAAAGAAAGTAGCACTTATAGGTTTGCTTGAAGCGTTTCAAAACCGACGTTAGGTTCTCGGTATTAGATGAAATGTTGTTATATATCTGAAATTTATTTTGAGGTTTGCTGCTGCATTTGTGATTCTCTGGTAACGTTTAATAATTAATCCAGCACAATCCACCCAGTATTTTCAAGACTTAGACAATGTATACTCTTCCTATGGCTTGTTTCAACTTTAATCTCATTCTCTCATTAATATGTATTCATTACGTATCATCAACCATCTCTCCATTTCCTCAATTTATCTAAATATTTTTATATATTTCTTATTTGTATGAGATTTTCGAATCATACGTAAACAATTATGTCTGAACGAGTGTATTCGTGCACGCGCTTACCAAACTCATTTGGGGGGTTACGAATCCTATTCAACATTTGACCTGACCTCAGCTGACCCTGTTTAAGCATCCACACACTTGGGGTCGCTCGTGCATGAGTCATGCTCACATTAGCTCGCTCTGCACAGCTTGTAGCTGTTTTAAGATGATTTCTCGACCTTACTTGACCCAGTCATCGCGTATAAACCTCCAGGATCCGGCCGTGAGAACCGTGTCTAATGTAGCCACGATTCTCAAACAATATATGACCTCAGAGCAGATAATGGGGTGACCCCCCTGCATGACTTCTGACCCCGGTTCTCTTTCCCTCTCCCCCTCCTTTCAGACCTGGACGAGTGCGCCTCTGACCCCTGCGAGCATGGCGGTACCTGTGTGGACCAGGTGAACAGTTTCACCTGTACTTGCACCCTGGGCTGGGAAGGCAACACCTGTCAGTTTGGTGAGTACATCGCCTCCACTCCCACCTATCAAATGTACCCCTTTCCTCTCCAACATGCACATTTTATTCTTCCCTGTTTGCAACAATATCTTCTCCATTATATATAGTAAATACACCTATTGTGTAAACAAAGTATCGTGTGGGTTCAAACAAGAGTTAACAGATGACATGCCAGCTCCTGTAGTTCTATGTCTCTGCACTCTGATAATATATCTCCACTAATGCTACAAATCAGGTTTACTTGATAGTTAACTACCAGCAAATAATACCATGGACGATAGTAGACAACATGTAACTATGTTGTACTGTTCTCTATCGTATCTTTTCATTCGAGTACGTAATTATTTCTCTTCTTTTCAAGCAGTCTTTAGCCTCGCTGCTATTCACTAACCTTGGCACCTCTCATGCACACGGACAGACTCTGACGAGTGCCAGGGACGGCCGTGCATCAACGCAGTGTCGTGCGTGAACCTGGAGGGTGACTACAAGTGCCAGTGCCGGAACGGATGGGAGGGCAAGAACTGTGACATCAACCTTAATGACTGTCAGGGGCAGTGCCTCAATGGGGCTACCTGTATCGACCTTGTTGACGACTACCACTGTGCCTGCTCCCCCGGCTTCACAGGTGAGTGCCAGGTATAACACCCAAGTACAGCACCCAGTATGCTACGCAGGTGAGTCTTTAACCACATAACATACAGAACCTGAAGTTAAGTTTTTAAGCATTAGAATCACGTCTGAGTGTTAGCTTATAACAAAAAATTGTCTTTGACGGAAGGGCGTAACTGTGAGACGAACATCGACGAGTGTGGCAGTGGGCCATGCAGCAACGGTGGCGAGTGTGTGGACCTGGTGGGCCACTACCGTTGTATCTGTCCCGTTGGCTACTCTGGACAACAGTGCGAGGTGAGGGACTACTGCCTGCTTTCCTACTTATCATCTTTCCTGGCTGAGATTAAATGTCTTCATTAACTTCCCTGACTGATTGATTATCTGCAATCTTCACAGTGCCACAAACTCGGCTTTTGTTTTCATCTGGCTTTTATTAATGCCCACACTTGCACTATTATGCCATTTAAATAATAGTCCGGTTTTAAATAATAGCTTTAAAAAGCGCATAGAAAACTTTGTTCCATAATATCTCCAGACTTTTGTGATTAAGGAATCAATTCCAGTTTAAACTCAAACTTGATATCTAATTTTGGTAATTGTGACAATATTGCAACGTTCAGTTTATGGGTTTTATACCTTCGTACGTAAGATAGTGAGAGTTTTATCGAGAGTTTTGGTGTGTACTTTGTACAGATCGACATCGACCTGTGCAACCCCAACCCTTGTGATAACGGCGCCCCCTGCATCAACACCCAGGCTGACTACTACTGCCACTGCCCCGAGGGTTGGGGCGGCAAGAATTGCTCCCTGCCCCGCCCCGCCTGTACACAGCCTCCCTGCCAAGGTAAGTCATTACTGACTCACACCTCGCTTACTACTGCCTCATACATTACTACTCACACCTCAATACTCCCTAGCACCTCGCTACTGCCACCTCGATAACCACAATCTTCCCCCCTGGTTAATTCTCCACCCTTCTACCCTGAATATTCACTCACCTTGGCTACTCGCAAACCTACTCGCATCGTTCCTGTCATTACTCACCCTCTCCCTCCCACCACTACATACTAAACTGAGTAAACTGGTTACAAGTCAACAGTTTACAGAAACTGTACACAACAGTCAACCACCTTAACAGTTAGTGTCTTCTTTCAACAGTCTTTAATTTACTGCCAGGAGTTCGCAGTAAAATTATGGTATACGAGGTAGCGAATGAATAGTATAAACCTGAATAAATATTGCGAGAATTAGTGAATATTTATTTTTAAAAAAGTTTGAAGAATTAAAAGGCACAATACCGTGATTGTAACAATACACAAATAATCCGCATGTAGGAGACTGAAACGTAATCATGAGATTATGTTTGTCTGACTAACACCATTAACTAGTTACAAGTGTGACTAGTGAATGGTCCAAGTCAGAAATGTCGTCGTAGTTTGTCTCCTATGTGCGGGTTATTTGTGTAATTAAGTTCTGTGTTGCTTGCCCCGAGGGTGAGGAACACAGTAGTGTTGATAGACCTCGAGAGCTTATCAAAATTAGGCTGAGGGACTGCTTACTCCATCTTCTACCGTCTCCAGTGGTGTCAACACCTTCAAATAACCTCTGTGTTAAATTGACAAAGCCACTGATGGGCGAAACGTCTTCACAAGACACCCAGGTGTTGCACATGTGTCTTAAAACATCATTTTGTTTACCTTTACGTCACCTACCCCATTTGTTTACGCTGGAGACTTGCTGTCACCTCTACATTTGTTTGTGTTCTCTGTTGTTTCATCTTTATTCTTATCCTGTCCCTTAATTTATTCGCCTGACTTGTATGCATCTGTCTCTTCAATGTTTTTCATTTGTCACTTCGCTTCGTTTCTGTACTCGTTCTTGTACTCTGCTCTGTTTGCTACCCACAAGCCTGTTTTCCTGTCCTCGCTTCTTCTGCCTGCTTTTTCCTCTATCCACCAAGTACAAATGCACTGGCGGCCCATTGGTTGTCGCCTGCATATGTCCGTAGTAACGTCCATGTCGACTTGGCTGTACTTAACCGAAGTCCTTCCCCCCCCCCTCTACGAACACTAAGCCACTCTTTTCGCGAGGAGTCCCAAGCCAGTTCTGAACCTTCATTTCCCTTCCCTCTCCCGCCAGTAGTGGACAGCTGTACGGTTCCCGAAGCTCAGGAGTCAGGTTCGGTGCTGCTGGTACCGTCCAACATCTGCGGCAGGAGTGGTCGCTGCGTCAGCCATGCAGAAGCAGCCTTCTCCTGTGTTTGTGATCCTGGCTTCACTGGACAGTACTGTCATATTAGTGAGTACACCTGAGTACTGTCATATTAGTGAGTACGCCTGACTACTGTCATATTAGTGAGTACATCTCAGTACTGCCATACCAGTTGTATCATTTACAAAACTCCAGAACCGCTTGGTTATACAATGCTTTTAACAAAAGCTGTTGCTATTATTATTATTTGGCTGTCACTATTGCCAGTTTTCAGGTGTCTTGACACTATCATTATCAGTTTTCTGCTGTCGTGAATATACTGTCAGACTACACACACTAATTAATAACAGAAGAAAAACTCAAGTCAATTAGGAGTCAGTCATATCTATAAGTGGTTCCAAGTCACAGGCTAGGAGAATGTCAGGAAATTTTGACTGCTATTTAGGGGTCCCTCAAAGAATAGGTTCAGGGACACTCAGGCCGCTCAAACCTCGCCAGCACGGTAGGGTGACCCAGTGTGAGGGTGCCACACTAATACTGCACATTTAGTGCAACGCTAACACTAAAGATTTTTGCTTCGAAGAGAGAGAACACTGGGCAGTGCCACACCCTGTGCCACTGCTGTGAGTGAGCACAGTGCCACACCTTGTGTCACTGCCAGATAGTTGACACTCCACTTCCAGCTGTTTCAGTATACAGGTATTAGTCAAGGGTTAATCTGTACATTACAGTTCGGCTGTATTAGATGAAGCATTGATCTGTAGTAAGAAAGGTGAATTATTATTATAATCAAAAAGAAGCGCTAAACCGCAAGGGTTATACAATGCACAAGAAAGGTGAAAAAAGAAGAGACAGTGGCCAGGATTGACTTAGGTTACCTGTATATGTGGCAGGCTGGTGTAGCAACTCCAGGAGTGTAAAGAAGGATGAACACTGACGCACATGTTTTCAAAATACTGTATGTTTTGAAGCAGGTATTTATAAGTAGAGGTAACGCAGCTCTGTACAGGTGTTTAACGAGCACTCTTAACACCTGCCATTGAAGCCCAGCAGTTAAACTAACATGTGTTAAAAAACCTCTGCCCCATCTACCCTCAGATGTGAACGACTGCGAGTCCTCACCGTGCATGAACGGGGGGACATGCGTCGACCTGGTGAACGGCTTCCAGTGTGTGTGTGACCCAGGCTGGGAGGGTCCACTCTGCAACATAGGTAATTTCATTAGTCTCTCGTGTGTGTGTGTTTTTGGCATGCTCAGTTCGTGTTTGCTATTGTTACTGATATTACTGTTACAGATAATTGTATTCATAGTCATATGATTATTGTATATAATGAGTTTCGGGGAATACTGTGAGAGGAGGATATTGGAAGAAGCCGAAGAGAGAGCAGAGGATTAAAAGGGGAGGGGGAGGAGTGAAGAGGAAAAATTATTATTATCAAAAAGAAGCGCTAAGCCACAAGGGCTATACAGCAAAGAGGAGAAAAAAAAGATGAGATCATTGGAGGGAGGAGAGGCGTGGAGAAGGGGAGAATTCAGCGTCACAGGAGTAAACAAAATCAAAAGAGGGACTTCAGGAAGGTGATGTGTAAAGGAAAGGTTTGTTAAAAGTCTAATAAAGGAGGGGAAATGGGGGGAATACAAGACTGCGAAAAAGGTGCAGGGGAAGGATAGAGTATAACAACGCGAGGAGAGGGGATAGGGATGGGGATAGGCAAGAGCACTCTAGAAATGGCTGTTGGATACACTACAGCACCAGTGGGACGTGGAGGGAAGGGGGGAGGCTTTGAAGACATGCTGCGGCAACAAGAGGGGATAAAGCTACAGCGGCGTTAATGAGGTTGCCGCAGCCAGGTCGCAGGCGGGACGTCCACTCATTAGTATGCGGCGTCCAAGTTTTCCCATTTGTGTAACAATGGCGGACTTGTGCTGGTCAGCAGACCGGTAATTAATGTGATCACGGGGCCGGGGACTCTGAGAGGTGCGCTTCCCACCAGCCAGACCTCAACCCTTGCAATGTGTCCAGCCCTGGCTGCATTCCCGGTCTTACCTGCTCTTCTTCACTGTATGTAAACAGCCTTCTGGTTTACCATCCCAGTTTCGGCTTACACTTCACTTGAGAGCTGCCATACGTAAGAACATAAGAAAGGAAGAACACTGCAGCAGGCTTACCGGCCCATACTTGGTAGGTCCTTCCCAAACCCAAATCCACTAAAAAATATTTGCGATCATCCCATTATCAATGTTACCCAAGGAATAAGGTTTGATAACCCTAGCTTCTTTCGTCCACAGGGTCGTGACTGTCCACCTTGCAGTAAATGCTCCTTGTAGTTCCCGGGTGGGTTCCTAGCTACTCCCTTCTCAGCTGTCTATCCTCCTGCACATCGAGTTTGTCACCCCTGCCCCCTGTTCCTCTCTGTCCACACCCCTTTGTTGCTGCCGTCTTGAGAAAATCATTCGTGATTCTTCTTTTCCACAGATGTAGATGAGTGTAGCGATCATCCTTGTCGTAATAACGCTACTTGTGTGGACGGCGTCACAGACTTCACCTGCGCGTGCCAAGGCAGCTGGAAGGGCCGCACGTGCTCCTCCACCACGTCTCACTGCGACCCCAGCACGTGTCAGCATGGTGGCACTTGCGTCGACCTCGGCAATGCCTTCGTTTGTCGCTGTCCCGATGAGTGGAAGGGCACTACCTGCCAGATCCGTGAGTATCTCGCCAAATTTAGAATTCTTGTGATTTACAACTGTGTTTGGCGTGTATTGTGATTGTGTTGATGCCGGTGTAAGAGTTTGTTGTTGGCTTCAGGTGAACGGCGGGTGTGCGATTCTTCGCCGTGCCAGAATGGCGCGACGTGTGTCAACACGGGAGACAGCTTTACGTGCCTATGCCCGGACGGGTGGGACGGCGCCACCTGCCATAACAACATCAATGATTGCACACCGCACCCTTGCTACAATGGTGGCCGCTGTGTCGACGGGATTAACTGGCGCGTGTGTGAGTGCTCGCCTGGCTTCACGGGTCCTGACTGTCGCGTCAACATAAATGAATGCGCCTCCTCCCCCTGCGCCTTCGGCAGTACTTGTGTCGACGGCATCGCAGACTTCCGCTGTGTGTGTCCCCCGGGACGCACGGGACGGCGCTGTGAGCACGTGGAGGGTAACAACAGCGTGGAGCAACCCTCGCAGGCTTGCCTGTGGGGCGGCGACCTCCGACCCCACGGTGCCGTCTGGAGGCACCAGTGTAATTCCTGCCACTGCAGCCACGGCACCGCCTCCTGCTCTGACGTCTGGTGTGGTCCAGAGAACTGCCTCCGATCCCGTGGTCCTAACCACTATCCCTGCGAGCCCTACCAGGTAATTATTCTGTATTCTCTAATCAAAACTATTGCAACCCTCAGTGCAGGTTACATGTACAGGTCTTTCACATTTGTGGGAAGTAATTGATCAGTTCAGCCACGCCACTTTCTCATAAAAAAAAAAAAAAAAAAAGCGCTTCAAAAAAAGTTGATTTTTAGCACATTTCGGTTGGGTTTTCAATATTTGTTTAAATCGCGCGTATGTTAGTCTCTTTTTGACCAGTTATTTGTGTGTCTTGTAATATTTTTGTTTAGTTTCTCTAAAAGGCTGTTTTTAAAGCATTAAGTTTTTCTTTTTTTAATCTACTCTAACCTGTTTGAGCGCTTTTGTTTTTCCTGTCATATTTAACAATATAATTCTTAAATTGGTTTTCAGTTTGTTGAAAGGTGCTTTCTGTGATCTATTAAATACTTGGTCTATTCTTGTTGCTTTATTTACATAAGTGTTTGCGCATGCAGGTATGTGTGCCAGGTCCACTACACTGGTGCCTAGCTCCGCCGTGCGAGCCATGGGGGGAGTGCAGGATGCTGAGTGAGGAGGGGCAGCAGGTTGCTCCCCGCGTCAACCCTGGTCCTCGCGAGTGTGTACCCAACCACGCCACACTCAACAACGCCTGTGCCAGACTCACCCTAGTCCTCAACCGCACCAGGCTTCCCAGTGGCTCCCGCGTGCAGGGCGTGTGTCAGGGGCTGAGGGCGGCCTGGGCAGACCGCCACGCCCATACTTCTACTCCCGCCCCCATCATTCTCTGCGGCCTCGTCACTGGCAGCAACGATACCATTGAAGTCACTCTGGTAAGTGTTCCCTGCTGCACCGGTAGATTAAACTATATATAATTTAACATACGCCTCTATCACCCGAGGAAATAGACACCAATTTAAGTTTGACTTAAGGTATATATAAGGCGCCGCCAGTAGTAAGAACCAGCTGGCACGTGTATAATGTTGACACTTTTTCTAGTCGTACGCGGAGGGTGGCCCTGAGGGTGACGTGACGGTGGCAGCCAAGACCCTAGGGGAGCTGGTCAGCAGGAAGCTCACCCCTGTCACTGCCCTTGCCGCGGCCATTGAGGTCAAGGTGGAAACCACAGTCGTCAGCGGTGAGCCAGGTCAGTCGTGCAGCTTCCTCTTCCCTCTCAGTCTTGTCGGGTAGCTTGTGTTTTGAGAGTTCTGTAGTAGTAGTCAGTCAAGTAAACTTGGGTAGCTGGAGAGAATGGGTGTCTGGAGTTCGAGATTTAGCTTGTTTTTGTTCCCACTGTGTAACTATCATATTGAATAGGAGATCCCGTAGGTATCTGCATTAAGCTGACAATATTTTTTTTTCTTGTGCAGGTGTTGCGAACGGAGTGTTGGCGGCGGTGACTGTGGTGTTGGTTGTGGTGGTGGTGATAGCGGTGGCAGGCCTAGGGTACTGGCAGTGCCGTCGGCGCCACCTTCAAGCGCACCACCGCACAGCCTTCCCCTCCCACTCCTCCAGACACAAGCTGGCAGACGACACCCCCGCTGAGAAGTCCAACAATGAGAACGAGGAGAAGTTGTGGCGTTACCACAACCCGCTCAAGACCGCCACACTGAGTGGAGGACCAGGGGACGGATCCGAGCCCTCCTGCTCCAGAGTGAACCCCCAAGGCCCCGGGGACCCAAGGGTGGCGCCCCTGGGCTCCACCGTCGGACTAATTCATGTACCTAAGGCAGTCCTGGCCACGCCAGAGACGGACGTCAGTGACTGTGAGTCGCCCACGCACGGACTGCCCGTTGCGATACGGAAGGTTCAAAACGCCGACGTGGAGCGCAATATGACCCCACACGACCCCGCCTGCAAAAGCCTCCAGAAGGAAATCAACCTCAAGGCCATTTCTCCCAGACCCCACGACCACGACCTCGTCACCAGCGAGATGGTCGTATAGCACTCACCTCAAGAGCCTTTAACATGGGCACCCTTTTAGCCGGGCGGTGACAGTGCCACAGCTGGGCTCTGAAAATGACAGTGTTAGTGTCTGAAGCCGCGTTCACAGGCCGGCTCCTTGACCATAGTAACACCTTCCTCGTGTCCTGTTGATAACGCACGCTTGGGTCTGTGTCATGATTAACCCAATGACAGGAATGTGACGCAGATCTTTGATGTTATAAACATACATGTGACTCCAAGATGTGCCAGTGTTGACATACGCATCACCTAACAGTGTAACATTAACCGGTACTGTTAAATTATGTGAATGATACGGTAAACTAAAAACAATAATCTTAACGGTGATGCACAAGACTATAAACACGCATTGCATCTTATGACAACACGGTTCCGACGCGGCCTCTGGGGGCTTAAAGACTACCGAGTGAACGAGAGGCTGTGTATGTATGTATGTACGTAGTTCCTGGGACGGCCGCTATTGACGGTGGTGGCACTGCTTGTCACAACTCTACGAATCAAAGCTAAACGAATTTTTTTTTTTTTTTACCCTATCCCCTCTTTTGTACCCAGAATGCCTTAGCGACGCATCTGTAAGTCAGCCAGCCTTGTCTTCAGCCTTAAACCGAGCGCTTATGTATAGATAAAACCTTTTAAAGTGACTGATCCGGTGTTTATAATGTATAGATTTAGCACATATGAAGGTCGTGATCTCTATATTTTACATTTTGTATTGATTTCTGACTTCCAACTCTTGTTACTCCCCTCCCACCTTTTTTTTTTTACTTCACGTAAAAACTAATTCCCGTCCCTCTCCTCTACCTTCGTGATGTACAGCGTGACGTCACTCATGATGTAATGTTTCTGACGTACCTCTGGTTGTAAGGACGTCACCAGGTTTGACGTCAGTGTCATGAATGGTGGTTAAGTCATAACTAATAAGAGTGGGCCGCCACATATGACTTGTAAAGGCATCAGTGGCTGTGATGTTTCTTCTTAACGTTACGAGGTTACAACGCATTACATTGACATTTCTAAAAATCAAGTAGGCGTTTTTTAGGCAATCATGTGACCCATTAATGGAAGACCCTGGGTCTCCAGGTGACTGGATTTACATGTACGACTCACGCTCTGAGCGACGATGGTTAGTCCAATACAAGTCCTCGAGTTTGTGTTGTTGTGTCTGGGGATACTTTTGTTCCACCCGCTCCGTCCAAGTACCGTATCCTGCCTATAGTGCATCAATAAGCCTATCTGTATTCGTCCGCATTAATGACATGGTCAGCTCTCTTATAGAGCTTCGCTCTTCACACACACACAATGTATATATATATATGCAAAACAACCACAGTGGTTGTTTTGCATATTCTGAAATCACCTGTTTACTGTGATCTTATTGCATATATAGGGCAATTTTTTCGATTATGCTACTGAATAATTCAATTTTCGATACATGTTCGAAAAAATGAACTATTTAGGAGAGCTGACTGTATATGTGCGCCTAGACGGGTGTAGAGCTTTGGTGAAGAGTGCAAGATTCTTCAGCAAAAGTTTGGCCATCACAACCACTGAGGGCTAGCACCATCCCTGGTAGTCTTAGACCAGTACAACACACACACAGTCAGAGGTGGTCACTACAACCGCTGTACACTACTCGCGTCACTTATGCAATACCTGATATTGATGTAGAGAGCTGTGATATTTTTGTACATTTCTATTCAGTGTTGTGCAATGTATATATGTAAGTATTTATTGATGTTTCTCTCTCATTGCCGCATTTTGTTACGATTCTGCACCTGTCTGCCGGTGTTCAGTGTTCGGGCAGTGACTCTTCAGTGTTCGGGTAGTGACCCCCAGTGGGAGTACAGGGAGGGAGAGTGAAAGATGCAGCGCTGAGGATACGCTGCCGAGAATGATGGAGAAAGGTCGCTGTCGGCGAAGAAACGTGTTGTGATAACGGAGGAAGAAAAAAAAAGTGTCAGGTTACGAAACCCGGTGATACGAAGATCGAAAAAGCTGACGTAATTTGTAACAAGAAAAAAATGGGTAACAGGAAATCAACGCTGACGGCGGACCACCATTTTCCTTGTTTACGCTGGGAGAAATGCTTTTTAAAGCAGGAAAACAGCCTTTTTTATATATCCAAGATGGAGATTAAAATGTCCCTTTTCTTTAAAGAGGGAAAAACTCTTATTATAAGCGTGACAACGCTTTTCCAGGAGTGGAAAAGCGCCATCATCCACTTGGGGGGGACACTGGCGGACACTGCCTCTTCCTGGGTGCTGACCACTAGCAGGCGATGATACATAGGCTGTGATACTTCGGCAAAATACCACAGGAGACGCGGGGGGGCGGTGACCCCTCCCTCTCATACCAGTCTTTGCCATATTACTGAAGAAAACCCCGTACAAAGTAAATTTTACATATCGCATCATATAGATATACGTATATATATTTTTTTTCTCTGGTATTTTCGACCGAGATAGAGCAAGCCTTGTTGGAAACATCTCGAAAAGACAATAAAATTTTATTGGAAATTTACTGAGCTTTTAGTGAATCCTTATTATTACCTCACCGTTATTCAGATGAAAATCAACCAGGTTCCCTTGTGTATAACCCGGCATTCATGAAGAACATTCACTTAACACCCTTACACTGCCATTATGAACAAACATCAGGTATTTAATAGCCTCCCCTCAGAGGAGGTTCCTTGACGCTGGTGAGGGGCTCTTAATCTAGGGAATTGGATCTGTGCTCCAGTTCCCTGAATCGAGTCTGAATACCTTCCATCCCCTCCCTCCTCACATGCGCTGTATAACCCTATGGGTTTAGCGTTCCCCCATGATTATAATTATACTTAACACCCTTATACTACTATAAACAACCATCAATCAATTAACACTCTTATACTACCACTATAAACAACCATCAATCAATTAACACCTTATACTACCACTATAAACAACCATCAATCAATTAACACCCTTATACTACCACTATAAACAACCATCAATCAATTAACACCCTTATACTACCACTATAAACAACCATCAATCAATTAACACCCTTATACTACCACTATAAACAACCATCAATCAATTAACACCCTTATACTACCACTATAAACAACCATCAATCAATTAACACTCTTATACTACCACTATAAACAACCATCAATCAATACCCTTAAAGAAAAAAAAATGGACTGATACTTCACTGTATGGATACCCAATGTAACCATGTACTCCTCACCTATATAAACAAATATTACAACCTGCTCCTTTCCCTTCTATAGACAATCACTGTCTGCCTTATGTATGAAATTTACAACTCGTCCATATACACAAAATGTATAAAATTATGCTGTCCAAAGTGGATAATTATTTTTCCTCTGACAAAATAGTTACTTCCCGACATACATTATGTAAGTTACTCTTGCGATGGGTAAACCAATCCCTCTTCCAACACATTATACACAATCCCAATAGATCATATACTGTCAAAATAGATGATATACCGTCCCAACAGATCCTATACGATCACAATAGATCATATACAGCCCCAAAAGATCAGTCCCAAATGGATCAAAAACATTCCCAAATGGAACAAAACAGTCCCACTGGATCAAAATAGTTAGTTTGATCGTACTGATCAAACTAACGTTTTACTTTACCGAAGAAGCTATAAACCTACAGCATTTCAAATGCGCCTTGATCCTGTGAAAGGTTCTTGATCCAGGAAACGGGAGCTTCTTTCCATTTCCTCGCATCCAAGCCTGGTGACCTTCCACTGCTCAGGCGCCCTTACGGGTAAACAACTGTCTTTTCCAAGTGGATAAAACCTCTTATATATATATATATATATATATATATATATATACACACATACATACATATATGGGGAAGTGGAACAGAATTCTTCGTCCGTAAGTCATGCGTGTTGTAAGAGGCGACTAAAATGCCAGGAGCAAGGGGCTATAACCCCTTCTATATAAATTACTAAATTTAAAGAAACTTTTGTTTTTCTTCTTGGGCCACCCTGCCTTGGTGGGATACGGCCGGTTTGTTGAATAATATATATATATATATATATATATATATAATAAATATATAATATATATATATATATATATATAATATATATATAATATATAATATATATATTGGCAGTTTGGAGGGATATGTTGTGTATCTTTATATGTGTATGCTTCTAAACTGTTGTATTCTGGCACCTCTGCAAAAACAGTGATAATGTGTGAGTGTGGTGAAAGGTTGAATGATTGAAAGTATTTTCTTTTTGGGGATTTTCTTTCTTTTTTGGGTCACCCTGCCTCGGTGGGAGACGTCCGACTTGTTGAAAAAAAATATATATATAATGGTAAAACAATCAATAAAACGGATAAACAGGAAAATTGAAATTTAGCAGAAAAAAAGAGAGAACTTCACTCAACTCTCTTGGCAATAATAATAAATACAGTCACACATATTAGACAAAATAAAATCAAGAAACATAAGCTACCAGGAAGAGACAGACTCTGGCGTAAGTTACAATTACCAGCATCAATTAAGGAAAAAAATGTTAGTGTCAAAAGACACCCTGAGATTTCCCCGAGGGCTCTACAGGCACCCCGGTAACAATAAAACTACAATTTAAGCGAGAACGAAGAAAGAGGGAAGTATTTAATAGGTGCTTCACAGGTAGCTACAAGTCCCAAGTCACACGGGGGAAGGAGCACCAACAAGCAGCTGACTACGGGTGAGGCGTTTGTACTCGTTCCTCATTCAACAGAATCATCTTAGTGACGATTACAGTTGAAGGAGGAGGACCAAAGTCGTGTTACACCTTGTTTAATATATTGCTCGTCTGTAGGGCCCACCGAGCACGCTACTTCCCTAAGGTCATATATATTTACGCGACCCCATGAAGCAGCTGCCAGGCAGAAGACTGCTGTAGAGTAAGCTCGAAAAGCAGCCTTTGCCTGAGCAGTCTCCACCAATAGAATTCCACACGAGAAAGAAATGACACACATTCACTAAAATTACTAAGTCTTAATCACTCCACATCACCACTTCCTAATTATAACCTCAGGTGTCTTACTCTGCTCTCACCTGTCTGAGGTATAACTGGTCTTCACTGTCACTGCACATTACATCATGATCCAGAAGATGAAGGTGGAATCCAATTAACCAAAGAATGGTGCCTGACCTCACCTGATAAGCCACAACATTCAGAAAACACAAAGTCTTAAATTATAATTTCCAGGTCACCCAGGGGGTCAAGGCGTTTAATTAGCGCAGGTCAGAAAAGTTAAACTCTCTATGCTAGTTGCAACTCAAGATATACCTTTGAATAATTCCCAGCATGCACATGCAATTATCTCATTGTCGAGTCAAATAATTTCCTAAAGCTTATTCCATTTTCTGGTCCAGCGGTTAATGCATCGAACTCGCAGGAATAACAATGGTTGTAAATACAACTTTTTCATCTACATAAGTTACCTATGTAGTGTGCGCGTGTTTGGAGAGGGGTAGTAGTAGCAATAATAGTAGCAGCAGTATCAGTAATAGTAGCAGTAGCAGCAATAGTAGTAGTAGTAGCAGCAGCAGTAGTAGTAGTAGTAGCAATGGTAGTAGTAGTAGTAGTAATAGCAGTAGTACTAATAGCAGTAGTAGTACTAAGAGCAGTAGTAGTAATAGTAGTAGTAGCAGTAGTAGTAAATAGTAGCAGTAATAGTGGTAGTACTAATAGCAATAGTAGTAATAGTAACAGTAGTAATAGTAGTAGCAGTACTAACATTACGGAGCACTTCGACCGCCTGTGGAGAACGGGGTTCTATTCATGACAAATCTTCAAACTGTGTACGGAGTATGTTGCCACTCTTTCCCAGTTCCTTCCACTCGCCAATCCTCAAACCGGAGAACAAAAAAAAAATCGTTCTAATGTCCCCATAGCTCAGCATCGTTGAAGTTCCCTTCTGACATCATCCATGTGCCTTTTACGTTAGCCTCTCCTTATATTTTCTGGCAAAGCCTCAGAGTATTTAGTACAACGTAATCATATCTCCCAAACTCTTTCATCTAAGACTCCTTTAAGCCATCAAACTGATAGTGTTAGCAGTAGTCAACCATCAGACTGATAGTCTATGTCAGCGGTAGTTCTTTCATACAGAAATTTTGAATTCTTTTGAAAATCTTCAAATGCTTTCTGGCCATCTGTTTCTTGAATAAATTATGTGGCTATATTGCTGGGCCTAACTATAATCTTGAAACAATTCCACTGCAGACACGTAGTCTGGCCTGAAGTAGTCGGGTGACTGGGCAGCGGGAGGATCGAGCCTTCAGCACGTATCCTTATTACTTCTAACGCTATTAATAACAAGTAACCATTACTATTGCCCGCACCATGAGTTCATTGTGATCACACAAGAGGCACACATCACCGTCTGAAATAGCGGGTGTTGGGCCAACGTCCCGGCTACCATCTGTCGGGAGACACCTGCTCCAGCCTCACCACTCATCCACACTACCTTTCCCACGGTGTATACACCACGAGATTTGTATCTATATATATATATATATATATATATATATATATATATATATATATATATATATATATATACACACACACACACACGAGACGGTGCGTGTGTGTGAGCAATAACATGTATAAATGCAGCAATAAATGCATATTCCAGTGTATATACACATGATATGCAATAAAATCACAATAAACAGGTGATATCAAAATATGCAAAAAACAACTACCGTGAAAAAAAATAGTGAAATTCCAAGTGCTTTCATGACCTCACATTATCAACGATCTTGATGTGAAAAATCACGAAAGCGCTTGGAATTTCACTATTTTTCACACGAGGTATACTAAAAAATACGCGTTCTTCTCCGTGTTTACACTCAGATACATCAAGGAGTGTGTCTCGTTGCATAACATACACTAAGAGGTTATTTTAACCCCCAGTTATGTTAGGAATCGACGGAGAGTGAAGCGTTAGCAGCCAGGTAGACTGGAACAGCATCCCTGCAGAAACACACACAGGTGCAATACTAGGGCATCTTCAATGTTGAGACGTTTCGCCAAAAGGTGTTTTTACCAGTCCAGCACAGATAACAACACTGAAGACGGTGGAAGACCCTGAGGTGATCAGTCCCTCAGCGTTGAAAGGCTATCATCAGTCCGTTACTCTTGAATCTCAATGAAGATACTAAAGAGTTCCACATGTGTCTTAGTCATCTGCTTCTCGATTTTGTATTACAATAATACATAAAAGAATTATCCCGGGCAGTCGACAGGCCCCAACTTTAAAAGTCTAACTTATCCTAACTCCTTTAAAATATAACCTATTATGGTTAGCCGCAATAACCTCTATCAGTCAGAATTCGGCAATATAGTATATCACGTATTGAGGCATTCTGAAAAGTGGTAGTGTGTACAGGCACTTTCTTCTGCTACAGTGTGTTGTTACAGTGTTGCTACAGTGTGCTGCTACAGTGTGTTGTTACAGTGTGCTGCTACAGTG